AGCGGCAGTCCCTGCCGTCTTGGCCGTGACTTTCCAGGTCGGAGATAGTTCTCGTTGGGACAGTGGTGTCGAATACACGGCCTGGGTTAGTGGAAAGACTTTCAGAGTCGGCGACACACTAGGTATATAAAATCTTTGTTTGATTACTTACTTCACAAAAAACCCCTGTTTTTCTCCCTAGCAAACTAATAATCAAATAAGGTTTAAATATTGTTTCATATGGATTGCTTGCTTCACAATAATTACCTTCTAACAAGCTAATAATTAACTCTAATTTTTTTGTTTGCTTCTTTTGTTTTTGACTAATCAGAGTTCAAATATGGTCCTTCCCACTCGGTGTCCGTGGTAGATAAACGCGACTACGATCGCTGCGACACTAGCCGAGCTACGCAGAGTTTCTCAGGTGGAGACACTAAGATCAATCTTACAAAAGTTGGACCTATACACTTCATTTGCCCTACTCCTGGTCACTGCCTCAGTGGCATGAAACTCGCCGTTCTGGTACTCGCTGCCCCTGTTTCATCGGGGCCTTCGCCGTCTCCGTCGCTGGGAAAAGTGGAAAACGCGAAAAACTCAGCGTCTAAGGGAATCACGAGCTATGGGAAGGTTAGTGTGATGATGGTGTTGATGTACGTTGTGATGAGATAATTACAAGGTCGATGTTAAGAATATCTCGTGTCTATTTCCATCATATGTAATATCTATCTTTTGTGTATATATATCTCTAGATTATTCCCCCTGTCCTGTATAAGCTTGTATATATCAAAATATGTTTGGTGTTAAGAATTTTTTAATAAGGTCACTAATACAAGTTGTCATATACCTACGCCAAATTAGCGAGTGAAATGATGGGATTCGAGTGGTTAAAAAACCAAGTCATATAAAGAAAGAGACGTAGTATATAATATGAACCAGTTGTAAACTGTAGTATAATTATCGCAACTTGTTATTGTAAACAGCTACACACATACATTTGACTATTGTAAACTACAAATCTAGCCAGACCCGGTTTTATTAATATTGTATGGACTGGAAACAAAAAAATATAAATCATGTGGACATATATACATATAGATATACAGTAGTAGGGACTAGTCAACGGTTTGATGAGGCAAACCCGACCGATCCTAATACGGTCTATGATGGATGGGGCATAAATCAGGCATGGTCCGGTCTAAGGATTAAACCACTCGGCACACAGAGAAAAGCAAATCGAATTCATCAAGGTTATTAAATTTTGGTCGAGAATCATTTTAAATAGTCTCTTCTCAAGTTTATTTACTTGTAATGTGCTACATAAGATCGCCATTAGAAGTTGAGCAGGTGTCCTATAAGGTTCTTCTGAGAGTACTAAGAATATAACAAAATGATTATTAGACCCAAAAAGACGAACTAACCAACAACGTTTTTACAAGCACCACAAATTAGAAAAACAAAATCCTGAACTTCGCCTCAAAAGAAACAACAGTTGTAATGTCAAGATGATGATGAATGGAACCAACACTAATGATAAAGGGAATCGCAGAAGCGAAGACACAGGAAGATGAAGTGAAGAGTTACCTTGTCTTCTTTTTTTTGCTTGTTTGCTTTGTTGTTGATTTAAACTTTTGATATGGAGATTTTTTGAGGTGGTGTTAGATCTTTCTACTTACAAAAGTAGTAATTGGTAAGCTGTCTGCTGCTATTGACTGAGAAGGCTGTATGATGGCAAATCTTCAAGACATGTTACGTCTTCAACCATAATCTCTCTCTCCAATTGCCGTCTTGTCGATTTCATCACCGTCTGTTATTCACACAATTACCATAATTCATTCATTTTGTCAACTTATTGTTTAGGCCAAGATAAAGCACCAAGACCAAGTCAAATATCCATGTTTCTTCGAATCTAAATCTTTTAGCGACATTAGAAAAGGTTGCAGAAATTACTTACGTTAAATTCCATATATGAAGCACGCATGGAGAGCCATTGCTGATCCATTAGCTTGAAGGCAATGCAATACAGAAGGTCAAACGCTGATTCATTCACTGCTAACAACACAAGTCCAACGACCCACGCTTAGTAATCTAACTCGTCACAGAGAAAAATGAATTAAATTTAAGCAGCATTGGCTGAGAATTACCTGAAAGGAATCTCAGAAATGTTTCCCCAACTATACTTCGTGGTTTTACTGTCAAATTAAAGGGTATTTATAGTTAGTATATAAAACAACGACACTGTTACTGAACCTGAGTATCTCAAATGGTGTACTCAAACTAAGTACCTAAGGCAATGCCTAATTAGTTGATCGAAACTAGGAGTGGTTATGCTATTTTAGCTAGTTGCCTCAAAGCATGTAAGAGCATGCTCAAAAAGGAATGTCTATGTAATCATGGACTATTATTAACGTGGCTTGTACCTGCTTCAAGGTCAAGCATCTGGATGAGCATGAATGTAATATTGATGCCAGCAACAGCAAATGGGTATTCCCACACAGAACGATCCCCAACCTGTTTCCGCAGAAGGTCTTGGAAGGATTTCTGCAGGAAACAAACAAGTGGCATCAAGAATTGAGTGAGGGAACATAAAATGGCATTACCTGATATGTGATGGTAACAATAAAAACATGAATGGTTACAGTGTCACTGGAATTGAGCATTTTAACGGAAATGACAACTTTGAGAATCATTTCTAACTGTTTGTAAAAGCATACCGGGAAATTCCTAGCGAAGTACAACAAGTTTTCAAGGGATATGAAGCCACCACCCCTGTGAGATACCCCACTTTGAGTCAAATTGAGGAAATGGAAAAATCTAAGGATAACAACATGAGTTGAGAAGTGACATTACCTAAAATCTGTCGATGGATCTTTTCCCTGCCAACCCATTTCCTTCCACTGCTCAGATACAATTCCGTGTAGCTCTTCTTCAGGAAATGCAAGTTTCCAAAGATCCTTCAGAGCTTCCTACACGCAAATGAAGTAGCAACCAATATCTATGTACGGCAGGTACAGTGCGACTTATGAAGCTAGCATATAGTGCATATGGAAGCGCTAGTAAACTTGAAATGGCTACCATTGACTTCATGGCATAAATTCAGTTTGAGCAGTCCTAAAAAACACAACCCTGAAGGAACATGTACCTGATGCTGAGGTATTGAGCTGTCATAGGCTACATCAATGCGGTTCTGCAACCTCTGCAGGCATTCCTCCTGCAAGCATTGACAATAAAGAATAGAAGTTATAAGCTATTTGAATACACATACCAGAATTCAACTTATAAGAGAGGAGAAACAAGCTATCATTATCCAGTAAACAATAAGAAAACAGAGGGAAATGGAACCTGAGCAGGTGTTAGATCAAATGAAGGACGTGAATCACCATCTCTTCCTTGAGCACAAACACAGGAAAGTCCCCGGCCTAACCATGCTGCCGATCCAGCAACAACCTCAGCTGCAATAAAATACCATTTGTAAATTGTCATGAAAGTAGAGCTTTGATGCCTTTACTAAAGAATTGATTGTTCATACAGTATAAAGACTAGTCAACCATCTTTTAGATGACTTTTACAGATTTGAAGATACAGCCATACATTTAATGTCTCTAGAATACGTGAGAAAGCATACTAATAACTCTAATACATACAACTCCTTTTAAGTATCAAACTTCTACAAAGACATACAGAACCGTGAAAAATTCCAAAAAACTGAACACATCCAATAGCTTCCTTTGTATTCACAATCAAAACCGAGGCGTTGAAACAACTAACAAAGATTTAGGATCTAGCAACATGCTCCTTGAAAATCAGTGAAAGAGAAACTAATCTCAACTACAAATTTGACCCAAAAAAACACGCAAACAAGCTGGAAAAATCCGAAACAGAGATCTATAGATACTAAAAATAGCACTTACAAAGAAGATCAACACACATGACTCCACGAATTTATCAGAAAGAGCAATAAACGCAAAAATGGCAAAACATAGATCTGCGACACCAAATCTCAGAAGAAAAAAAGCAAAACGCCAGCGA